TGCAATAACAATGTCTGGATTCCACTTTCACACACACCCCTTTTTCTCCTTTTCCTGCTCTAGTGCTATTTAAAATCTTGCAAACCCTGTGGAATACCAAGACTAAGAGGAGCAAGTTAGGACATCAGTCCATTTACCCCGTTTAGTTTCACTTATTCAGGGAAAGATCAAGTGTGTGCAAGTGTACGCAGAAGAAAATGCAAAATACTTCTTATTTAAAAGTGAATTTAAGATGCATATGTTCAAACTGAAGGATTTGCGTTCCATTTCTAACCTTTCCTGAAGTCCAATGTAAGATTCTGGATCTGTATGAATTTTATAGCTAGACGTAGAATTTTGATTGGAATATTGATTTAAGTTGATGGAAATATTTCTAATCCTATTAAAAAATGCTAATTCCATGTAAAATAAAGATATGACAGTGTTTTGACTAACTAAAATCGGATTAGTCATAATTAAGTTCAGAAGATAGAAGCTATTTCGAGAAGAAAACTAAATTACACACGTGGTCACGAACAACACAAATAGGAGAACATATTTGCTGTTATTAACAGATTTAGAGCACATGTTCAAAGAAAGTAGACAAATGAATTCCAGCATATTATATTAAGTCCTTATATGTCTCCCTTTAAAACAAAACTCTCGAATTCTCCATCGCAAGGATCTGGTCCTAGCTTTGTTGCCCATCATTGATACCGTTTGATACATTCTCGCATTTAGTAAGAAAATTAGAAGAAGAAACAGGCTCGTTCGATGGAGCCTTGACCTCCATATCTAGGTTTTCGAGGAACCTACACTTCCAAGACAACTGAAAAGTTGTAGAAATATATAATTCATCGACATCCTCAGTTCTTCAGTGTATAGAATTTAAATAGTAAATAATATACATCATCTAACCCTAGAATTAAGGATCACATCTTGCACCATATCACTCACAAACTTACATATAACCACCCACTAGTATTACTTTCACTAACTTAAAAATATAAAAAATATAATATAATAAAACCGTAACAGTCTCTTGCATTGTATCCACTATTTTTCCTCATAAAAACTAGACCATTGGAAAGAGCTGGTCGAGCTCAAGGGTCAAGAAAAAATAGCAAAAACAGAAATAGGCTATTTTTAATAAGTTAAATTGAACATTTCACCTATAAGCCCTTTTTAACCTTTTAAAAGTGGGCTCTTTTTAAAAACTTTACCTTTTTCAATTCTGATACATATTCCCTGTGGAACCAAATATGAAAAGGCTGTTTTTTCGACGATTGTTCTATACGTAGATAACATGATGGATATGATTGTGCCATATTCTCTTCAATCAAATTAAAAAAAATAAAATAAAAACTTCACCACGCTCTTTTTGACATATGTATACCATTATCCATTATGTTTTTTTATTCAAGTACATGGTAACCCGAATCTAATTCTACCGATGACAAACCAGACACAACATTAATAAGGAAAAACAAACTATGACACAGGTAATAATAGATGGAAAAAACAAATAGAGATGATAACACAAGTAAGGAAGAATAATAATACAATACGACGAGAACGATGAAACAGAGAAACTCCATTAAAACATAAGAAACAACAGGATCCTACGCTAAAAATGTATCGACATCACCAATAAATTAAATCAATAAAAATAATAATAAACAGATGTATCGTACCACCAGAATTCTTCTACGGTGTCGAAAGTGTAGACATTGCGAAGAGAGCTGCCCCAGGCGGCGCCCTGTTTCGGTTTCGATTGGTTGTCATACCAGAACGTCCACTTCCTCTCCAGTTTGTGCGGCTGCTTCTCTGCCACCTCCTCTGCTTCATCCAACGCCGCCGGAACTTCTATTGCTGCATCGCTTGCCATCCTATCAATCTGGTTATTTTCTCTCCCTACAATTTGCTTTTGCGAAAAGAAAGAGAGGGAGACATTTTTCAGAGTCCAATTTGTATTTGTACAAGGGCTATTGATGGGATTGGTACAACTTGGGCCAAAACTAAACTAAGCCCAGTTCAGCAGGGTTTGAGTGGGGTAACTGAAATTGATGGAAATAGCACTTGAATACATTAAGAGCATGTTTGAGCAATAATTTAGTGTTTTTTTTTGTGGTGCAGAGATGAATTTTCGAATAGTGATTTAATGAAGAATTTGTTTTTACAAAATAAGAAAAAAATTTAGGTTTGCGTGTAATATTATTTTTATTGAAAAATGTGTATTGAAAATAAGTGAGAAAAAATTTATTTTGAAAACAATGAAGATCAAACAAGAGCTTAAGGATCCATTTGGCATGACTTTTGAAAAGTCAAAAGGAGTTTTTGAGATGCAAAAACTACTTTTGGACCGATTCTACTAATTTTATGAAATTGTTTCTTGTACTTAGGAGAGATTTTAGATAAAGCTGCTCCAATGTAACTTCCTTTAAAAGTACTTTTAAAATAGAATTTTTTTTTTTTTTGAAAATTAGTTTTCAAACAAAAATTAAGGGAACTTCATCTACAAACTCTTCTACATTATGCAAAAAGTAAAATAAAAGTTATGTCAAACGGGTTCTAAGACTGACTACTTTAACTTCATTTATTATTTACGCTTTTCATGAATCCATAATTTATAAAAACTTAAAAATACTAGTATTTTCAAAGTTCAATGAATTTTTCAGGTTTCATAATGTTTGATAGGTGGTATATTGCCGCCAAATTTTTTCTTTGTTTTATGGTATTTAATGCTTTTTTTAGCAAATTGACCAAGTTCTAGGAATGGTAGCCAAGTTTGGGGTGAATTAATAATTTTGGTTTTCATCATTTGCAAAAATCATCACCGGTCGAGGAGGCAACGATTGTGCTATAGAATTTTGAAGCATTTTAATTTATTGGACAATGAATCAAGAGACCTACTGTAATCTAGATTGGTGAGTTCATCACTCGTGACTATTGAAGATCCCACAACACCACCTTAATGACGTATAATCTTCTCCCCAGTAGCAAAATAGATTGATGGAACCTCGCTTGTTAAACAAAAGAGAGGCCAAATTTTAATCATGTAGAAAGGCAGATACAATATGTTTCACTCGAGCATTAGTTGCTCTAGATACTGAACATCCCAATGGAACTCCAGGCGCATGCATAACAACTTGAGTGTTCTTCAGCAACATTGTGTTTTCATTGACCAAGATGACAATGGAATTGTCTATCCATGGGGGACGTATGCTGGTAAATACCGTACGATGACCTAGTTAAACTTTCTCCGATTAAAGTACTATCACGTAGCTCGCATTAGATGTCCTTAGACACGGTGATGGCATGTCTAGAAGGGATGACTTGATAGTACCAAACAATATTTTTTTTTTTTTTAAATAAAAGATAAAACTAATTGTTCATTATCGTGTTCAGTTTGATCCTGTGTACAAAACACGCACTCAAGGCATACCTACATTAAGCAATAATTAAAATATTCGTCGTCCATATTTTAGAAACGACCATGGATGCTCAGTACAATGGATTCCTAACGATTACAATGGGGCATTAGTCATCCAGTTAAATTGTCATAAATCATTTTGTAGAGTCTAGCGACTTGTGTAACTGTCACTCTCTTTAAACTACTAGTCCGATTTCATCATAATTTTTTCAGGATTTCGTTGAATTGGGTTCAATATGATGGTCTCTCTTATAAACGTCATTTCAATCCCTCCGATGATCCTCTCCTACCTCCATATGTGGACTTTGATCTTGAATCTCTTGCCATTTCTAACTTAATGCCACATTTCCCAACACACAGAGATAAAATTGATGCTATTTTAGATGAACAGATTGTATTGATTAAAGATGGGGATGTTCAACACTTCCTTGTTCGTTGGGTTGATCGGCCTAAGTCTGATTGCATATGGATTATTAGAGAGACACTGCAGCAGCTTGACCCAAACTTATTGGAGCTCTATCGGAGTCAGCAAGATCTTCCTTTTCCCAGTTCTCTTTCCACATATTAAGGGGACATTGATGGGAACACCAGATTCTGACCACCACTGACACGCGTTTATGGACATCGGAAGAAGCTCGTTCAACCTCTTTCTTTATAGCTGGGCGATTGATTACAGCCTTCTCTGATTTTATTCACTCGACAGGGTCGAGTTTTTCTCCCACCTCAGGAGAGTTGATGCGGACTTACTGTTGACTTTTTTTAATTATATTTTGATTATTATTGAGTTTGTAGTAGTGGGTTGGTCCAAACCCGTCACTAGTAGGTTTCTTTTTTACTATTTATTGGATTTTTCATTGTTGTTGAATTAGTTAATGATTGAATAAAATTTCGATTGGCGATTACAACGTTTTCCCCTTTTTTCCTTCCCGTTTCTTTTCTTCCCTGCCGGCTTTCTTCCTTTCTTCTTCTTCTTCTGGTTTTCCTTCTACTGTTACCAATTCTTGGCTTAAATTTCAATTGATTCTACATCAGATTCTCATACTGAATTTATACTAGTATACAAATTGATTGCCAAATTTATTAATATGAAGATGATTGTTTTGGACAGAAAAAATTGCCTAGGAAGCAAGGAGGAAATTGGAAGCTGCTAGAGAGATGCTAGAAGAGGAAAATGAAGTATGTATATTTCCCTTTCCTTTTTTCTTTTTCTTTTTGTACCATGTTGAATGAGTTAACATTGTCTTATATTGACATTCATATCATATACATCAATGGTGCAAGGGGATTTCTATGAGACTTGTGATGCAAATATTGGCCAAATAATTACATACATATACAATAAGGATGGGGTATTTCGCACAACTATATGGACGAATTGAATTAGAGTGCCAATTAGGTTATGCTGACTGTACTATCATGTGGTAGTCATGGTATTCCATGTTCTGTAGTCCTGCTGTAACATTTACACTTAATGCCGTGCTTATTTTTTATTTGCTAAATTATAGCTTCCCCAAAGGTTACATATAAGTTAATGAGAATTAACATTTGAAATGATCAGGGAGAAAAGAACAATAATCAGAAAGAAAGAAATGGAATTTCCCTTGTTGACGTGGCTTACATCGGCCTAAAGCAGTGAAGGCTCCTAAGAAGGCTGTAGATGCTGGCAAGATTGTTAAAAAGCCTGTTAAGAACTCCAAGAATCCTTCCCACACAAATAAATTAAGAACGGAAGAGATGCAGGAACTCTTTCAAGATGATATGAGTGCTAAAAAGCAGAAAAATCTCCAGCATGGAGGTGGGAAGAAGTCCCCATTCAAGAGCAAGTCACGGTATAAAATCTCATCATGATCTTTTATCTGCTTCAATTTTAATTTTTATGTTCTGCATATTACTGGTTTAGTGTATGCCAAAAATTTAATTCAATTCAACGAAGACATATCTCGTCATTATGATGGGCAGTTACATGGATCTCTGCTCCCCTCTGCTCTATCAATAGCCATATCCAAAATTAAACCGCAAATGGTTAATTCCTTTTTTATTTGTCCATGTGATTTTAGGTCGATCTCTTCCTCACAGTTCACTATCAAATATTAGTCACTGCTTTTCCTAAATAGTGGCCTTTTTTGGAAGAGAAAGATAGCACTGGATACCTAGTTATTGGATTGTCCCCATCAGTATTATCAGAGTGGAAAATCTTTTTCCAGATAATCTTATAGATGGCTAAAAATATGTTATGTTAAAACTCCATCAAGGATGGGGCTGCCGAAATACGATTTTATTTTTTGGTCCCACTAGCATCGGGTTATGTTCAACTATATGTTGCCTTTTGGTACGCTATTTGACCGTTCCATAAAGCTCTAGAAAACTGATTAAAATTTATCTCTTTACTTTTGTGAGACCGTCTCAAGTTCTGAAGTTAAATCGCAAGATTTCAGTACACTTCAGGGCATTTTTTAGGGCATTTTGATATCTCATCTACTGTTCAGAATATTTTTTCTATAAAAACTGGTCTCCACCGAGGGTTCTGCAATATGATTCTGGAACTTTGTCCAGAAAGCTGGAATTTCAGCAAGTCTGGCTCAGCTAATAACAGAGACGTACTTTTCTCTGACACCAAGTGAAGGAAAATCTAATAGAAAGTAACTTGGAAAAAAAACCTCAAACACGTTTGACAAAAAAGGTTACTTAAAATTAACTTTTAAGCTTAGAAAAACACGCTTATTGACATCTAGAAGTAACTTGTGAGCTTCTGGTATTCGTGCAGGTACAAGCGCAGGTAGCTTCATGCTTAGCAACTATCGTATAGGTTTGTTGAATTGCTCGAGGAATTTTGGTAATATATCGAGAGGCTGAATGCTTCGTGGCATAATTAATTGCCCTTTCTTGAATGAGTTTGGAAGCTAGTGAGATTTTACCTAAGAAAAATGTACAGTTAGGTGGTTATCATGGTAGTCTATTGAGATGTTACTGGAATATTGTCATTGTATTTATGAAGATGAATCATGATATACCTGTCTTGGGTTATCTCACATATTCCTTTTGTGGGTTCAAGTATGTTCCAAGAAAATCTTATCTATTATACAACATACACATGATCTAAAAATGCTTGTTTCGTGGTTGGACCAAATAAACCTCAGGTATTTCACGTCTTATTATTATTTATTTTGGTTAATTCTGATCAGTTCAACAAAGCGAACAATGAAACTTCTTCGTAAAAAGAATAATTAATTCAGCATAATTGTTAAAGATCTAAATTATTTATGGATTCATGCATACATTTTACTCCAAATATCAAACCAGTTTCAACCTCATTTTCTGTCAGAGCCTCAATCGGCGCAGCCCAAGTAACTTTTCATGCAAAACATCTACAATATTATCATATATATTTGTCGAAGGACAAAAACAAACAAGAAAAGCAGCACCCGAACATAATTCCAAAACAGTTCATTAAATCAACAAAAACCAATCATGAGTAGAGTTGGTCTTGAATCTCATAAAAAAATAATGGCACATTTGGCAGCAAGGATTATTTTTATCGGACAAAATTAAGAAAGAACCATTTGTTCATCATATTGTCAATTTGTATGAATTATGATAAAATGGATTGTACAATAGTGAATGTTGTCAAGTAACCTGTCTAGTACCGTGCATCAATGATGCCCAACATGCATATAATATATACAATATTCTTTCTCTAATTTCATTGTTATATACACGTATATATTGAGTACTACTGCAAGTAACAAGTATCCTGTGGACCTGTGGTGGACAGAGACCTCCTAAGAAATGATAAGGAAACCAAGAAATAAAGACATTAAAATAAGATTCTATTCTCCTTTGGGTAATTAGCCACAAGAATAACAATAAATCCACGTTCCCGATCATTATTTAGTTCCAGCAGTCCCTCCCCACTAAGTTAGTTTGTCTTGGCCTTCTATGATTGTAAAACTATTAGCCTGTTCTGATTGATCCTATTCTAGTCACGTGCAAGGAATCCAAGATAATCTCACCTATATCTGAGGCGGTGTACGATGTTTAAAGGGGTAATGTTCCCATCCGCTATCTGGTTCTTTGCGTTTCCCACCAAATGAACTGATATAGAGTGGGGAACTGGACCTTGGCTGCTCATCTGTTGACCTGGCCTGCCCCATATTCAAGAACTGCCTGAAGCCTGTAGTATCCCTATTTTGCCCCTCCATAATCGACCAGGAGTTGAGATCCAAACTAGTCCTGGGAGGCACAACCCCGTTTGAAGCAGTTGACCCCGTCATGCTAATCATAAATGATGATTGAGATAAGGAAGTTGGTAGAGATGAAGCACAGCCTACAATCTGAGGGACGACTGGTGCTCCTCTAGAATCCATCATGTATGGAATGGGACCTCCAGGTCCATACATCATGGAGGATAAAGCAGGTGCAAGCCCATTGTAACTGGTAGAATGGGCATATGGAAGTGCAGATCCGATCCCCATAATACTCTCAGTTCTTGCCAAATTAATGTCAAATGAAAGTTCTGGAGTCCCATGCAGAAACTGAGGAACAAAATCTTTATGCTCGATCTCCACTCTTGTACCCATAATAGATATTGCAGAGTCATCCAACTTTATACCCCCAGAAGCATTTAAGTTTTGAGATGACTTACTTAAATGGGAATTATTGGAAGAAATGAGAGAAGAAGGGTCGCCATTCAGATCAATATTCATTAACACTGGCAGTTTCGATGATGAAGAGGAAGAATGGAACTGGCAGTGATGGTCATTTCTCTTGGGAAAGAGCTGTCGCTCAGCCAGCCAATCTGATTGAACATCACCAGCTTCACTTGAATGATTAAGATCCAACTCAAGACGCTCTAATCTTGAATTTGCTTCCGCTGAAAATTTCCCAGGAGGACCAGAAGATACTGGGACTTGTTTATCTGTTAGTGGATCTTCTGTTCTGTCGTAACCGTCTCCAGCTAGATTCAGGTCAATATGAAGACATCCATGCAGCTGCTTTGAACTGCAACTGCTTCCCCCAGAGGAAAGATCCTGGCAACGATCAGGTATTCGGCGGGGTGATGCTGGTCGGAAAGCACTTGTTGCAGAGGAACCTTTCCATCCAAGATTCCCCTCAAACTGCAACGGAGAAACAGGAAATCCATGAGCAGCAGCAGCCCTTGAAGCAGAAACAATGGAGACGGGGATAGAAATTGCATTTCCAGTATAATTTGTATCATCCAAATAAACTTCATTCAGATCGAAGTTACACGGGCTTTTCTCTGTACTGGCAGCTTCCTGAACAGCTTCAGTGACCTGAGAGGTTTGCATATCTTGTTCGCTATTCATCTGCTCACCATCTTGGTTCTCAGTGCTAGTTGCTGACTCTTTTGCAATTGGTGAAATTCCTGCAGACGGATCACGGTCATTTGCCACCTCCTTAGGCGAGCCCTCGCCATTGCATTGTTTTCCACTTACAGAGTCTGATATATCCGGTTCCCGGGTTTTTCCTTCTGAAACTTTTTCAGAATAACTGGAACTTCGTTCTGCAAAATCTTTGACTTCTCTTTCCACATCTATCTTACAAGCAACTTCTAGTGGCTCTATAATTTGGGAGGATACATGCGTGTTAAATTCACCACCTTCTTTAGTTATGGATGCACTTGGGCTTCTGCATTTATTTGTACATCTGCCATCATCTATATCACCCTTTCCCTTAGGGTCAATCGTCCTCACATCAGCAGAAGCTGGACCTTTCTGGCAGGAATCTTTGTCTGCATCATTGGAAATTTTCAGTAAATTAGGTTGTGTCACAGAATTCAATGCATCTGCAGAATCAGAATTTGAAGGATAATGTCGGACTTCTAACAGGTCAAGCTTTTCGATAGAGTCTAATTTCTCGGGAGAAAATCCAATATTTGGGGTCTGCTTTACATCACTATTCAACAACTGTAACTTGTGAAAATCAGTCTGCCTGTCAAGAGCACCCTGTGCTGTAACAGCTGGAGTACATGATTCAACTGAACTAGTACCTATTGAACCACAAACAGGAGGCTCCACCTTATGGCAAGGATTTTCATTTTCAGGCTTTGAGAAGGAAGGCGAACAAACGTGTCTTAAAGGCCTATCATCCATAACAGCAGTGTCCAAATTTATGTCAGAAGTATGTGCATTTTCAAGCTTGTCAGATTGAAATGCATCAAAACCAGTGGATGAGCACTCTACTGTTGATTTTAGGCATTTTGTTTCATCAAAACTCTTTTGGGGAAGAACATCTCCAGAAGAATATTCTGGCAACCAAATATTTCTCTTAACACATGCATTTATTCCCATACCATCATCATTTAACGTTCCCACTCTATCAACATCCAGGGAAGATGTATCACCGTCTCGATTTTTCCCCCACCTATTTAATAGAGCTTGAGCTGTATTTTGTAACTTGGAACTATTGTGTCCAAGGAGATCCTTAACAGTACTCCAGATCTCAGAAGAAACTGATTTCTGACCGTCCATATGCAGCTTTTCAAGTGCTAGCAGTAAATAAGTAATTTCTTCCACGAAGACAACACTTGTGCCATTACTCAAGTTTCGAGCATCCTTCAGCCACTTACTAACAAAATGAAGTCCATCTAACTGAATAAAAAGATCAAGACACTCCTTGTTCTCAGTGGCTGCTATAGTTCTTGCTACTGCAGACCAATGCCTGGTTGCATCACTAACACTCTTCATAATAGAATCCCCATCTTTCTTGATGACAGCCACAAGTTCTCTGACTCGAGCAGGGGATGTAAGCCCATTATTCATCTCCGACAAGCTGAAGAAGTCGTCAAACGTCATAATTTTGCACTTACAGCTGCAAATATTTAAAAAGGCCCTTTCTAGAGTCTATTACATTTTCAGGCATCTTTGGCACTGCTCCTGCATAAAATCACATCGAAAAAGGTTAAAACACATAGTTATACGAAATCCTAATCACTAATTCATTATTATGCAGGGCTCCAATCTAATAACATAATAAAAATCATATATATAAAAAGGTACTCCACTGTTGCTTATTGTTAATCCAATTCCCCCAGGCCATCCCAAATCTAATATGTACAGTTCCAATCCAATAACAGAAGCAAAATTATGTAGAACAGAAAAGTGACATCAATGCACGATGTCATTATTCCCCTCCCGTGTAGGGCGTGTGGAAGTATATCACATTGAAACAATGAAAAAGAAAACAAGGTCAGAAGATAACAACTCTCCTTATCAAGAAAATTATGAAAGCAGCACAGGGATTGTGTGCCATGGGTCAGGAAGGAATGCGAAACAAAGGACAATATCATCTTGATTTTAAAAAATTGCACAGCTTAATCTACAATGATGAGATTTTCTTTATTAATTATAAGTTTCCTGAACTCATAAAAAAGTCAAATGCCTGTTAGTTATATTATTCCAAGGTACCAGAAATGCAAGAACTTTTCGTACGATCATCACATACAATTGACTTCCTACGATACAATGCCTTTCAGTCTCCTTTTTCCTTAAGATTCAAGATGATAGAATTAAGATGAAGTATAAAATGCAATGATCTAGTTTCATATCTACACGTGCAGCGGTGTAAGAGAGCTAAATACATGCAATATATAAGCATACGAATCACAAAACATCGAAGGGCCTTTCTCCCTGGTTTTATCACATTCTTTTTGCCACAATTTGAGAAGAGCCCATAATAACGAGGACAATCTTGGCCTTCCCAAATCATAATTGAGATTTAAGGCATCATACAAGTCAACAGTGTATCTATAACATTCGAACATTTAATTGAAACAAAATTTCCCCTATAAAATGTTACAAGAGGGATTCACAATCAACCAACCTGAAAGTTCCAATGTCAAATCTTAAAACTAGAGCTCATTCATTAAGAAACAAATATTATTTAAGTCAAATGATGAAAAGAGAGAAGCAACCCCACGATCACAATTTTGAACCAAAAAACTAGAGCTCTCCAACAGTTCATGGGAGAAAAAACATTTACCGGCTAGCAATCACCCATTTATTAATGTCAAAACATGATAATATGTAGATATCAGAAATTCAGACATAATAATTAATACCTATTTCACATGATGAAACATACATCAAAAACACCCAAAACAAGAACTGTAATTCAATGACACTGGGTCAAATAAAACACATCAATTCACAGAAAAACCCGCCCAGAAACTAAAACCCCACAAATAAATCTAGTGTTCTTACAGAAACAAAATTATTAACAAAAAAAAAACATTTTCACAGGAGAAAAATCCAAAAACCCCAAAAATCCTAACCTTGAAAAGAAACAAAAATGCCAATCCATGAACTGGCACTCTAAACAACTATGTTCTTATCATTGAGTCAGCGTATTACAGCGTAAAGGCGAGTCTATATGTAATGAACAGGAATAGTAGAGATTTCGCTAGAGATTTGGTCACTGATGCAAACAATGTAATTAATAATACGCTTTAACACTAAACCTACTACAGTATAAAAGAAATTTAAAAAAAAATATTACATAAATGTGGCAATCAAAAGAATTTTTTTACCTCTTTCAAAAATTGGAAAAAAAATCTTCGAACTTCAAGCTTCAGTTCTTTATCTATGCCCAACCAAAACCTCCCATTTTTACTATCTTTAAACCCTAGTTTCTTCTGCAGCCGAAAATTTAAAAAAAATAAATAAATGAAAAATTCTTTCAATTTTCTCGCTTCAACAATACTCTTTTGCTTCCATTGTTCAACAAGTCTGAAATTTTCTGCCGCTGAATTTTCCTTTTTTACTTTTCTGAATTTTTATTATTTTTTATTTTACTCGTAGAAGGTTTGCTTGATGGTCTGTCTTAGTGGCAATTCAGCACGTGCCACACATGCGAAAAAGTAAAGATAACTCAGATTATGCGGGTTGGCCCACAAATTAAGCAAGGAAGATTCGAACAGAATCGGATTCGAAGATTCTCGGACCCATGACCCGACCCTATTCCCCAACCTCCAAATCTTTCTTAAAAGGAAACTTGCACTGGGTCCTCAATTTTTCAAGTGTTATATTAATTAAATCTCCAACTTTTTTGGGAGTTAAGTCCCTTTTAATTTGTAGTATTTTGGTCTTTAATAAACATTTTTGGTCCATTTTGAAGTTAAAAAACCAATGTATTACTATTATTGAGAAAACAAACTTTTAATTAGTTAAAAAATAATAAGAAAAGACGTCACGCCCCCATCTTCATGCTATTTCTTCTCTACATATCCTATCACCCTAAACTACTATCTGAGATGGAGAAATGGAGAGAAAGGCAAAGTCTATATAACCAATTCGAAATTGGGAGGAACAATCCTACCTATCATCTTCATGCTATTTCTTCTCTTCGTATCCCACCACCCTAAACTACTATCTGAGATGGAGAAATGGAGAGAAAGGCAAAGACTATATAACCAATGCGATATTGGGAGGCACAGTCATACCTATTTTTCGCAGGGCTTGAGACGAATTTCAGAATATGGTTAGTGAAAGGGGTTCAAATTTGAGTGTAAAATGGGCTCAAATTAATTTAAGAAAGAAACATTAAAAGAGATGATTTTTTTGTTAAAATATTGTACGAACACATAGCATAGTTATATATAATAGGATAGAGTGGTAGACCACTTAGGAGAAAAAAATGACGATGTCAATCATTAAAAATAGTGAATGAATCAAAGGGTAAAGGTAAATTTATGAGAATGATAACATAAATATATACATAATAATCAATAAACCAATGGGTAGTACTATATTCATGAATCCCTCGTAAGTCATAATTCATAAACCAAAAACAATCAAGTTGTCTACAATCAAAGAATCAAAAGCTATTGTAAACTAAATCACTAATTCCTCATAAACCAAAGGCAAGTAAACTAATAATCAATTACATATACAAATTACAATTAATTCATGCATACACATATACAGCCAGTCAAGGATAGAGACACAGTGCACGGATTCATAGAATATCAGAATTATATGCAATCAAAGAAAACCTCTTGAGCCTCACCTCAGGTCCGGCTCTGTTGGGAGGGAATAATAGGGTTTTGAGGAGAAAAGTTTTCGTTCTATTGAAATCATGCAACGAAACATTAAAATAAGCCAAACCAATAACAAATCAAGCATGTTTGGAAAATGAATATAATACATTAATTAGGGACTTGGACTGGAGCAAATTTGGCCGTCAATATCCAAAATTCTCTTACTTAGCCCCTGTTTGATTTTTATTTTTTGAGAAGTAATTTTGTAAAATGTCGTTTTTTTTTAAGAATACGTCGTTAATAAGTGGAAAAAAATAATGGTTTACGTGCAAAATTATTTTATTGAAAATTGACAAAATTGATAAAAGTCGTTGATCTTCTTATCGTATTTATGAATCTTTCGCTATCAATGGCATAGAAGAATACAGATATCGAGCTCGAATTCATAGTAGTAGAGATTATAAATGTGCTTTCACTATCCAAGGTAACATGATTGCAACTGATATCTATTTTCCAGAGGGGAGGAGTTTTTCAAAGCCTTAGTCGATATCCTTTTCAGTGTCATATCATAAATTCATTCTATTTGCATACCAAAAAATAAAAAACTAAAAAATACAAAAAAAATTAAAAAAATCCCAGAATTTAAGCATTCAAACCTATTATCCATTTGGACTCAAATATTTATGCAGTTCTCCATTGCATCTCAATCTGAACTCGACCATTCTTCGAGTCGATGAGGTTGTATCTCTCGTTGATTCGTTTGTTGGTGACGACATCCGAAAGGTATATATCCACGTAGCCCAGAGTTTCCTAAAATGAAATGTTTCAACATTGATTACTTGAACATGCGGTTGTAGTACAAACACGTTTAATTAAGAAAAAGAAAACCTATGATTTAAACATCAAGAACGTGACACATAATTCCGATCCTAAAATGTTTTATCCATATTCAAGAAAACTAAAACCTAAGTGTTGCACCTAAAATAACATGGCAGAATGAGAGTGAAATGACATTAAAAAATGTCAGCTTATATTCAAGGTTTTCTCGGTCGCATGAGCATACAAGCTCGGTCCACAAGGCGTTCAAAGCAGCATCAGTATACAACTGTGACAAGGCTAGCATGTGTGAGACTCAAGGACTTAAAAAAGAGGCTTGAAGTACTCTATCAATATATACATACAGACAACTACTCGTATATTTATATGATCTTTCATAAACACTTAACTTTCAGAGTACAATCGATCACCATCCCCCTATTCAATAGACATTCCTACTAAGAAACGTCTATTTTGTAGTTATCAAGATGATGAAAGATTAACTTTGCGGATCTAGTCAGCACCACCCAATGTTGACAGGACTGCTTGACGATTTTTTTATGTCAACACTAGGAAAAGCAAGTTACTCAAAGCTCATAATATGAGAAAGAAAACTCCTATGATATGACTATGTTTTTAAGACTCAAAATCCCATGGCACATGAAGGAATGATAATGTGGATGCAAAGGGATAACAGAGCTACGAGGGACTTTACCTTTGGGTGTCGTACACCCATTCTTGATGAAGTGCTGACTACTTCAACGTGAATCCTGTCATTAGTGGGTGGCTCCTCTAGCGTGAACTGAAACTCCTCCTCCCATCTCGGATCTCTGTTTTTCTTCACAGGCTACGGAGAAAAAAATAATAAATGAGTAGTTTTTAGAATTAAGACGTCGCACTCACACTACTCACAACCAAGAGCGTCCATTACAATTATAAAGGTCCATGTTTCATGAGTAATACATTTCAGTGGTCGTTTGCTGAAAAGCTACTACCTTGATAGCTCAAAAATGTTCCAATGGTTGTTTGCTTGTATGTTTCTCATGTCGAGTGCATCATATTGGACATGAGAAAATTTACAAATATGAAAATTGCAATTGAAAGAACAAGATCAAGATCGTATTTCCATTTTATGCAAGCTATAGTTTACCTTAGTTCTCTTCTCCTCCCCTCTAAATAGTAAGCGGACCGATGGATTCGTGTGGTGCTTCCCTTCAAGATCTTGACCTTCGTGGACTATAACAACGAGCAAACCACCACCGTCAGGTGTTCCTTCAGGAGCCTTTTGCATGATATTTGAATCTTCCATATCATTTGGTATCTCGTTATCATCAAAAGGTTTGTGCTCGACTTCAAGTACAAGTTGCCCTCGTGACTTATCATTCTGAGAATCATCTTGATTAAGGTTTTTAAGAAGATCAAGAGTCAAAACTTTTGGCTCCTCCGGAGTGAGGTCTTTTAGCGGGACAATATTGAAGCCCATTTTGTCATGTGATCCGACCTAAGTATATGGCATCATGGTTAGAAAAGTTAATGAATAAGAGGAAAAAAATGGTTGGGAAAATTTCCCGAAATCAATTTTGCGTTCAACCTTAATCTTCAAGAGCCCCCCTAACGTGGAGGCCTAATAAATTTTTTCATTAAAGATCCTCAGACATGCAATGATTTCATAAATGAATATTGCAAATGCTTGAACTCAGAACTTACTTTGCTATAATAACTATCTCATCTAGAAGCCTAAGCTAAAGAGGGAGGACGCGTTCACTCATTTGAATTTATCGTCAACAAATTCAATAAACATGATGACTCACTAAATTACGATGAGAACAAAATAAATAACCTGTTCCCAGTCGTAGACGGAGAACTCTAAAACTTGAGCTTCAGGGTCCTTGACAACGAAATTAAATTCCTCGTTCCATTCGGGGTTCAAGTTTTTGCGTTTGACAGTTGTTTTCTTTGATGGAAGTTTATCTTCACTAAGTTTTAGCTTTACATAAGGGTCTGATGCTCCCAAAAGATCTTTCTTCTTTAGCTTCATGGCTCTGATAACTTTCACATTTAGAATACCAACCGGTTTCTTCATTGCCCTATCAATTGACAGAGTAAAATTTGTTTAACATTATAAGGACTTGCTGCAATTGGACATTGTTCGAAATAAAAAGCTATGGGTTTACATATGCACTTACTTTGCAGGATCCATTATTTGAACCTCTAGCCTTTTGGGCCATAGATACATATTTGCAACCTGATGTTTAATCAGTTCCTGAAGAAGCAAAAAAATAATTATAGCGAAACAAGAAAGATCGAAGCGACTGCACTGGATAAAATATATATTCAAGAATGACAAGAAAACAAGTAGCGGTGCTTCAACCAATCCTGTAGATGTAAAATTACTACTGATGATAACCCGAAAGCACGAGTCTCAAATGATAAAAAGAGCATAATTTCATGTAAATTGAAAACTATTGCCTTCAAAAATGTACTTGCATAAGCCAATTCATCTTTGTAAAACCCTTTGCATTGCATTTTCAAAAATCAATTTACTTAATGAAGTTTGACACGTCAGGCATACAACAAGAACAAAACAAACTAAGTTTTTTCACGATAATTTTGGGGTCGGCTGCATGAATCCTTTTCCGCCACTCTGATTGGTTCATAGCTAGATCTTCTTTCCTCCACTCTGATTGGTTCATAGCTAGATCTTCTTTCCTCCACTCTCATTGGTTCATAACTAGATCTTCTTTCCACCACTCTGATTTGTTTATAACTAGATCAAAAGATCTAAAGCAATTAGATCCTTATAAACTACCACGGGTCATATCAGTTTTGGTCTACCCCTCCTTCTTCTAACATGTTCTCTACCAAGATCACATCACTCCTATAAATGGCTTCTTTACTTCTACGTAGAAACTACCTCAGGCATAAACAATATAAATAAACTAGGTAGGAAACGAGGAGAAAATTATACCTGAACAAACCTATAGAGCCCTGGAATGGACATAACATCAGCATTGAGCAACTTCAGTCCAAAATCAACATGAGGCTGCAATGTTATGATTTAAGATGAGAAATAATCAGACTTTGTAAAATTTACAATTCTTGGCAGTCAAAAAGTACTAAGATAGAAGATTGAAATAGAGTACATAGCTATCTAGATTGCTTACAAATTGTATGTCTGCCAAAAAATTGCAATGTCATCGGTTAGCTGTAATATCTTTTCAGTTATTTGTATAATTAAAAAATATCTCAAAAACCGAAGATCCAATTTCTTTCCAACCCAGTTAAACAAATTTTTTTTTTCTTTCGACGATATTACCAACAAGAATTGAGCATGGCAATGCACACCTTCTCCATAAGAGAAACAAATATGTTTGCAAAACAAGGAAAGCTTGGGACCAGCGGCTTTAATGTGATACGTGGAGAAGCAAATACTTGCAAGTCAAGCACCTGAAATAATCCCAAAGAAAAAAAAACTAAGGTCCAGGAGTTATTGCGTGGCAACCATAGTTGCTAATTAAGCTGATTATGAGCTAAGTACAAGGGAGGAGAGAGAGAGAGAGAATTTGCTGAAATATGAACTTAAAATTATCATTCAAGTTTTTCCTCCATAATCCAGTGAAATAATACCTGGACAGTAGCATGCAGCCCAAATGCCTTTGCGGAAACAAGGATGTTAGGATTAGATGCCCACTTCACAGCTAGTTCCATAATCAACTCTTTCTCCTCAGTGGAGTACACTTTCATTCCTGGCATGATACGGTAGCTTAACAGTGTAACTAATTGAGCAATATATGTTTCGTGTTTTTAGGAACAGATCACCCGAGAGAGAGAAAAAACATCGTTTTTACTTCTCTTTTTCCTTGAGAACACAATGAGAAAAAGTTGACGTAGCTTATAACATGTTTAGCCTTATTCCCAATAAGTTTAGCCACAGCTTCCCATCATAAGCATAACAATTTTTCCAATATTGCAAAGATATGTCGTGTTCGTATGCGTATAATTGAGGAAATTTTACTCAATAATTCAATCACGCAAATCACACGCCAGTTGTACCACTAATCAAGTCAATATTCTTAGTTAACGATACACAATAGAGAAAACGTGTCATTGACAATCAAACAAATCATAGTTGGACAACTTACAACTTGGACAACTTACAACTGGATTAATGGGAGACTATGTTTTTAAACATTTATGGTGTGTGTATCCAGAGAAAGAATGAGTATTTAAACCTTGAAAAGTGGGTGGCAAGGAACCCAAAGTCAGTTTTTCACATTCCACTGAATCAATTTTGTATTTTGGAATTTGCTCAGCTATAATTGGCTCTGCTATTTGCTTTATCGTCTTGCAAATTGCCTGAGAACCTTAAATTGTTGAAATTCAGTCTAAAAAGATAAATCTACCAGCATGTTTGCTAAACGTAAAAAGATACTTTTGTAAATAAATACATAAGTAAATTACTTATTTCAACACCAAAAATAAAAGTTACTTCAAATATCTTTAACACTTTTTAAAATTTAGCAAAACATGCTAAAATATCCAAACAAGTTACTTCAAATATCCAAACAAGTTACTTCAAATATCTTTAACACTTTTTAAAATTTAGCAAAACATGCTCTACGTCAAAAGCACCGGAGAACATACCTTATTTAAATATGGCCACATTAATTCTATGAATTTGTTCAGCCAATCAATCTGTGGAAAAATAGTTACGGATTAGGGGCTATGAGAGGAATGGAGGAATATTAATTTGTCTTCCTGTGAAAATTATGCCAGCTAGTACAGAAAAATAAGAACTTACCCTATCATAATCTGGATTTTTAATCCAAAGGGGTATTTGTGGGAGCAGTTTTTGAAGAACCTCAGAATCTTGCACAACTAATGGACGAATATCAGGATCCTGGTCATATTACATTCTCAAAACTCGTACATATTCACCGTTATACAATAATCATAAAGGAAAACTTTGCTTATTTCAATTGAAAACCGGCTAGCCACCAAATGTCGACAGGTTATTAACCTTTAGATGTAATTTACATTCTACGAAATTTTTCTAGAAGAGAAAAAATAAAATAAAATAGTTCAGTCATCAACTATCAATTAACACGAAAATCATCCTTAAATCGAATTAACAAAGCTTAAATATCATCTTTCTTAGTTGCCTTTTGTATTATAGGAATAGAAATTCATGCATACAAAAGCATTCAACGTGTTTTCTCGTCATTTTCCTCGTTTTGGACAAATTTTGGATATTCAGTGTATAATTTTTCACCCTCTACATGGAACATGAGCGCACTGTGGCATATTCAATACACTCATGTTTGGGAAAGCAAACTCCGTATCCGTAGCATGGGTATATTACATTACATGGTCGGGTCGAGTTTTATACCAAACATGGCTGCAATGTTTTTTAATTAAATTAATAAATCGAAATTCCCCATGAAAAGGCAACACAAACTAATATGCTTTCTCATTTTATATGTAAATACACTGCACGAGCATTCATTCATTAAACAGAACTAATTAGCTGCACTCGGAAGCAAGAAATTTGAAGAAAATGAAATGCAAATGGCAANGAAGCAAGAAATTTGAAGAAAATGAAATGCAAATGGCAAAACGAAAATGTAGCAGACAAAAGAGATTTCTACCTTAACATCAGTTGGCTGCAAGTAGATGAACAGGAAATACCCAATCGCAAGCCCAAATACGATCCCCAATCCGAATCCAAAAAATCCCATTAAAGTGCTTATTATACCCATTTCTACTCTTGCTCAAAATCAACCCAAAAAAACTTCTCCAAAAACAAAGCAAAACTAATCCCGAATCACGCACCAAGGAATCAAAAGAATACAAATAGATGGGCCCTCAAGTTTCGATTCGACTGGAGAATCTAGATATAGAAAATGGGTTAAAAATCGCCATTATGTGGAATTACTGATGAATCAAGAACACGAAAAGGCTGGAGTTTATGAGATTTTATGATGAAGAATATGAAGAGAGCGATAAAAGAAACATTAATGCATAAGAAATTCCTGAATTGAACGACCCATTTGGATTGGATCCACACATAACGGATTTTGTAACTATTCAAGAGCGTAGAATGGGGAAGGCTCAGATGCATGTAACGTCCCTTTGGCTTGGCATTTTCCATGCGAAGGTGATATTGCACAAAACTATGAAAGTGATTTTTTCCAAGAAATTTTTGCTGGTGTAAAAAATAACAAACTTAAAACGAATTAATTTAAATTTATAGAGATCATTGGTAGATGATTTAAGTTATTAATTTGAGTCTTATTACATAGGAAAATGCTACATGTATAGATTATTTAACAAATTGGTTTACAGGTGCTGAGTTGATAATATTTCACACATTGGTTTAACTTTGTGGTTTGTTCAAATAATTTGTGAAATGTTGTCAACAGAGCATCTGTGAACCAATCGATTAAATAGATCTATACAATTAGCATAATTTTATCCTAAAATACTCATTTTCCAAGGAGTAAACAACCAAGGAGTTGAGGTAAACTTTGAATCTTATGTGGTTGGGGCTTCCACTTGCTCTTCATTCAAGAACAAAACATTTTCAAGGGAGAGGTCTCTTCATTGCTTGAATTCATAGTAAGGAGACACATCTTTTCTTCAAAGAGGGGGTTCTTCTAAGTAGATCTTAGACTCAAAATACTCATTTTTCGAGTAGTATCACATGTCAATGAATTGTGTAAAGTTTAGAATTTTCTTTCCTCTATCCACTTGTTCTTTCTTCAAGAACAAATTCTTTTTCAAGGGGAGAACCTATGCATTCTTTGTATGTTTTTCCCACAAAATGTTTGTGGTTATAGTGTGGTTTTCCTCAGACGCTCTGTTAACCCCAAAAAATATACCTTTAATGTGGCCAACATATCTTAAGGCCTCTCACGTCCACGCAAGCCCATTTTTCACACACTTGAACAAACCGTTAGTCACACGTGACTTCCTCCTGTAGGGGTGGAGTTGACTGCGTGCACTCCAATGGTCAAGTCGGTTGGGGAAGCAAATATATGAGTATGGGAGAGCTTTAGACATGAGCCTCCAACATAAAAAGGGGGTCGACTTTCTGGAGTAACTGATAAAATGGTGACATGACAAAGTTATAACTTGAGAGTCTAAACTCGCATTGTCCTCAAAATGATATTAAATTTGAGCTTTTATAGTAAAAGAAGATGAGTAAAAGTCGTTGAATGAGGAGACACGTGACCTCATCCTAGTGGTTGGAGCTTCTTATCATAGACATCAATCAATCATTTAAAGGTCATGCTACATTCAATGTTGTGACAGCTTGGCATCCCTAGGCCTAATATGTAAGACTAGACTTGACTTGGTTGATTGAGTAAAGTTAAGGATGGCAAAAAAATTCGACAAACCCGATACCTACGGGGCTCTCCCCCGAACAGGGCGGGAAAAATCTGCTTAAACGGGTTAAATGAAAATTTTCCTTAGTTCTAATAGAAAATAACAACTAAAATTATTTGTCTAAATCTAATTAATATGAGCAATAAAAATAAATTATCAAAAATTAAAAAAAAATTAAATGGAGAATAAACGGGGAAAGGACCCGCCCCGCCTTAAACGGGTAACGGGGCGGGGAATTTCTTAGCAGTACGGGGAGGGCCCCCCGCCCCACCCTGCCACGCCACGTTGCCATCCCTAAGTAAAGCTGTCTATTCAGTGAGTTGTCACATCTTCCACTTGATACAAGATTTTGTATAAAGATATTCTTTAAAACGTCCCTACCTATCTCACCTCATTCATAAGGGCTTAGCTCCCTATGGAGGTTCGGCCAAATTGCCACATGTGCAAATGTGGAATGCGAGCCTTAGTTAACTTGCTATGTAACTACCACTTGGACTTGCTTAGAATTTCGTTGGAAGATGCGTAACATATTCATAACTATTATTTTTTATTAGTCATATATTTCGTTCACTCTTATTCCTCTTTATAAACTATTTATAAATTTGTTAAATGGAGGCTAAATTATGACAATCATAGTATAAGTACATCATTTTTTTAAATCGTGTCATATGACAAAACACCATTAGACAGTTTAAAAAACGGTTTTTTTGTCCATAAACTTTTAAAAATAAAGGCAATGTCAAAATCAATGTAAATGAAGGACCGTACATTTAGCATTATTGAAATCATGATTGCCAACTCTAAGGCCTAAGCTTTGGCCTCCTATGCACTTCCACCCAACATTTGATTTTTGGCACCTCTACTTGAGACTCGGGGCCGCCTTCTTTGCCAACATATTCCATCCGTCGCTGTTAGTATCTCATGTGAGCTTCAAGTGGATGATAACCGACATGGGACGGGGGGTAAAGAGGGCATGGATAGGCGACCGCCCCCATCAACATTTTTAAATTTTTTTAGAGTTATATAAAATTTATCTTAATATCCGTCGCTGTTAGTATCTCATGTGAGCTTCAAGTGGATGATAACCGACATGGGACGGGGGGGTAAAAGAGGGCAGGGATAGGCGACCGCCCCCAACAACATTTTTAAATTTTTTTAGAGTTATATAAAATTTATCTTAATAAATATACATTAACATATATTATAGATTAAAACTTTATTTTACTAGCAAGATAGACTCGGCTGTTCATAGTCGTAAAAGTAGCATTTGGGTGGTTCAAATCCGAGCAGTCACGCTGTTAATTTTTTTGGAAAATTTGCACAATTAGTTCTTAAACTTCAGATCCATAGAAGTTTAAGAATCTTCCATTGATCTCTTGCATTGCGTCATGCTACATCCCAACGTAGCAAGCTATTTAAGTTATCAATCATGTTGCATGTACCTGATTCTTTATATTTTCTTTCACTTTATCACGTGGCGACGCATGATTTGACGATTTAAATTTTACACAGTTTTTTCATCAAATCAACACTTACCAACATTGATAATGTCAACAATCATGTCAAGGAAAGAGTGTACAATTGACATTTTTCTTAAGTTATATTGTGCATCTTCTATCATAAAGAAAAGATGGAATTGCTTTAAAGAGTCGAATCATAATTATGTAAATGACAACCTTGTAAGAAAAAATTTCAACGGAAATGAATGATCCAACGATTAAAGATCCGTTAAAAAATATTCTAGAGCTCTCCGACCCCAATCAAAAATTTTGACTCTGCCATCGATAAACCTCTTCGTTTTT